TAGTTGCGAATGAAAAACTTTGAAGCAAAGATACTCCAATGTGGTGTATCTTTGGTTGAAGCAAAGGTGGCCATGAGGTAATGGTTCTAAAAATAATCTCACAGCTACACACTAGCAAGGTCCAAATTCCTTTATCTCGTCACCCAAGCTTACAACAAACCACTCTTGCCTCCAAAATAAATCAAAATAAAATATTTATTGTTGACTAAAGTTGTTTATTTTTATCTTATATGAAGCAGAAGACATCGAACTTTTAATCCAAAAAACAAAAATTTCATGGAAAGTCACTTTTTTGCCTTTCGAGCCTCATAGCTGATAAACAGTGCGTCTTACGACTGTTATTGACCGGGGCAGACAGACATGTGTGATTTGCAGCAAAAAATACTACAGTTTGATCCCCAAAGCAGTGCATCTGTATTCTGGAGTGAGAGTAAAAATGTATCCTATATTTTATATATTTGATGAAAATATGAAAACTTTAATTATTGCAAGGTCTGGGAACATAAACAAAATGATAAAACAGCCAACACGACCAAAGCTTTTGAGCAATACGTTAAATGTCAAACCACACAACTCAGAAATAAATCAAAGTGAAATACATAAAATTTATACTATAATGTATAGAGTAAAGTTTTATTTCTATGTAATGAAACCAAAAACATCACTTTCTAAAGAAGAAAAACAAATAAATCCGCCAAAGGTTGATTTTTTAATTTTTTTATTTTTTTTGGGGGGGGGGGGGGGGGGGGCTGTCACGAACAGCTTAGAAAATGATATCATCCTTTTATTATATATTATATATGGAGAATTGAAAAGGAAATTTTAGGAGCTCTTAAAAATGCACTAGAAATTTGAAACATATATTAAATATATAATTAAATTGATTATCATTGAATGTGTGCAATCTTCAGCCAGTCACTAAATTGTTCATGATCAGCGTGGGCATTCAATGCAGTGTGGAGAGAGAAGAAGTGAGTACACATGCAGTTTGCAGGTGCTCTGGTGAGTGTGTGTGTTGGGGTGGTTGGGGGGGGGGGAGGTGGGTGCAACAAGGTTTGACATCATTTAGATGAGTTTCCATATTCGATGTAGGGTGTAGGCCCTACAGTAGAATCTATTCATAATAATTATAGTCTTTCAACGTGCATGGGAAATAACGCTTTTCTTCTCTGTTGCACTTGGTTTGTTTGTTTGTTTTGTTTTGTTTGTTTGTTTATTTTTAAATAATAGAAGAGTTATGTTTAAATGGGAAAGTACTGCTTCAAATATTTTAGCTTTAAAATTTCCTTTGATTATTTCCCCTTATATTAAAGTTGTTATGCCTTGAGGTGATCATTCCATTTTTCAACTTTTAATTCTTTTAATTTAATGTTTTTTTGGTACACAGTGGGCCTTCTAGTATACATAATGTTGTTTTACAATATTCCACGACAACCTCTTTTTAGGTTCCAAGGATTAAGGGTTTTGTTGACGACATTTATTTTGTAGTAGTATTAGTATAGGGTTTTACGGCGCTCGCAACTGCTAAGGTCATATGAGCGGGCACATTTATTTTGTCGAGGGGTTCCAGGAGGCCCTAACTCTCTCTCTCACTCTCTCTCTCTCTTTCTCTCTTTCTCTCTCTCTCTCTCTCTCTCTCTCTCTCTCTCTCTCTCTCTCTCTCTCTCTCTCTCTCTCTCTCTCTCTCTCTCTCTCTCTCTCTCTCTCTCTCTTTATATATGTATATATTTATATATATATATCTGTCCCCGTAGGATTATGCGATTGTGTGGACGCGGCGCGGCCGCGTTTTTTGGCGTAATTCTGCAACATTTGCATAATTTTGGATTTCCCGCGTTTTTTTCACGCTTTGTTCCTTTTTTTCACAGAACAATTAAGTAACGCCTCGCCATGTGACTAAAGGGAAATAATCACCGTAATAAGTCTCATTTAAGTAAAAAAACTGGTTATTTCCCTTGGTAGAAGATCTTGGTTATGGGTTGGGATTTTGTTCCTTGAGCATGTTCAATTTGTCAATCCATCAAAAGTTGTTGTTCTCATGTCTGCTGATGTTTCATGTTTGACAGGTGTCCCTGGTTTTAGTAATGTGCCAGCATCAGAGGTACAGATGTCCCTTTTTGTTGTTGTTGAAATTTCCCCCCCCCCCCCCCCCCCTATAGATCTAGATCTAGATTTACAGCTGAAAGTTACAGAGATTATATTTTTGGTTGTTTTTTTGTTTTTTTTTACTGAGTGTATTGTTTTCTTTCCAAATACCCAACAAATTACTGATACTGATATGTTCTGTTTTAAATTTTTCTGTACATAATACATGAAAATCATGAAAATTTGTGTTGAAAAAGTGCAAAACATGTCGCGAATGGTGTTACGGTAACTTGCATAATATGGCATTTTTTGGGCTTAATTTGGCCTTCTAAATTTGCATAATACTACGGAGACAGATATATATACAGTCGAACCTGCCTTAACGGAAACCTGTATAAAACGGAAACCTGTATAAAACGGAAACCTGTCTTAACGGAATCTCCCCGCTCCCCCCTTGATATATTCCTCTTTAATTACCTGTATAAAACGGAAACCTGTCCAACGCGGAAACGGAAAGAAAAATCCGCTCCCTTCCGAGGGTTTCACCTGTCTAAGACGAAAAATGCTTTGTCCGCTCAGCCCTGATTTGAAACAAAACTCGCAAGTTTGGTTCCGCCGGCTCTAAACTTAACGCCATGGCCATGCCGCTGGGCGAGGAAGGGGGAGTAGGGGTGCAATGGGGGTAGAGTAGAAGTTACCCTATGTTACCCCATCATTTGAGCACTGAGCGCTGCAGATGGTCAGTGTAGTGTGGGTGTGATATATCACGACTGCCCGTGAGAGTGCTCGAGTAGCCAGCCACTACAGAAACTTTCCTGTGTAGCCAGAGGCCAGAGGTGTGAAATTAGATTGACCAATGCCTGCCGCCCTGATCGTACGGCCTGCTGAGAAAAGAGTTCCTCGAATCATTGTTACAATGATGGCCGTGAGGGGTGGCATTGGTGGGTGGGACTAAGGGTGGAAGCAAAGTAGGTGTTCAAACGTTTCTGTTTTTAATAGGTCAAACAGTGGTCCTATGAAAGGCAAGCACTGGTGGTAATTGGATAAGTAAGACTGACGCATGTCACTATCAGACAGGATAGCAGCTGAGAGGTGTGAAGTTTTGAACATTGCTTGCCGATCGGACAAGCGATCCTTTATCCCAACACCACCATGCAGTCACCCTTAGGTCACTGTATTATTCCAGGAAATGAATTTGCAGACATGTTGATGACGGTAGGAGCCAAAATAACACAGATTATGGACGGCATGTACCCGTTGGAACTCAAAACTCTCTCTCAACATCTGCTGTTAGAAACATATAGCACAAATTCCACCCTAGTTTCATCAAAAGTGACCCCTATAACCTCCAATGTAGGGCTGACCTGGTCACAATCTTCTAACTTGACTGCAACCACTGAAACAGATGCTCTCCCAAATTTACAGTTGGAGACATTCTCCAATTCCTGTGTCAGTGTGATTAGGTCCAAAAACTGCCACCAGCTCCTGCTACATTGTTTACTTCTTCAGGTGTTAGGTCTGGAGCAGACATTGACGATCGTGGCACCCCACTCCTTCCTGTTGTCTGTCCTCTTAATCAGCTTCGTTTTTCTCATTGTGTTTTATGTTGCAAAGTTGTTGTGGCCATCTGTGTATGCTGTTCTTTGTCTTCCTCTGCTTTTCTTTCCCTCGATCTTTCCGTGCAGCAACAGTTTCTCTTGTCAATTTGATCTATTTTTATGTGGCTTAAGAATTTCAATTGGTTTTTCTTCTGATGGTTCTGATTATAATAGATTTGACAACCTGCCATTTGGAGCTCGTCTCTATTAATTTGTTTTCCTCTTTGTCCTTGAGATTGTGAGGATTCTCCTTTTAACAGTCTTCTCTCCATGTCCTTGTTGTCCACACAAAAGGAATGACAACACGTACGCTTTCAGGGTTCTTATTTTTGTGTTTATTGTTATGTTTCTGTTTGAGAGGATAGGTTTAATCTTGCAGAAATTTTCTTCAGCTATATTGCGATTCTCTCTTTTCTAAAATTTTAAAATCTCTGTGTCTCTTTTTGCATCTGGCATAATTGTGCAACCATTGTGTTTTAAAGCTGTTGGCCTGTTTTATTTTTATTCTTTCGTTCTTACATGTGATGTTGCATCCTAGGATGTCAGCACTTTTTGAGATCGCCATGCATTTGGCAACATTGTACTCACTTCATTTCTCTAGGAGCACAGTCATGGTATTATTGATATGCTATTCCTGTGGAGAGAAGACCGTAGGGAAGCCCTCTTGATTCCAAAGATCTAAAGCAAACTACAGTTCATACACATCACTGGATTGACTGAGTTGACTCACTGTCACCAAGAACGAAGAAGATAAGGAAGAAGTACATGTAACATCGAAGCCTTGCAAATGTAAAAAAAACATCATTTTTATTATAACTGACCGTTCACTTTTTACAGGGATGCCGTTTTCCCGTTATTTCCGGGTTTTTTCCCCGTTATTTTGGGCATCATCCGTTCTTAAATCCCTTTCCCATTCATCATTTGTCAGGAACTTTGTTTTATTTTTAAACTGATATTATGTTGTTTTGTTCCATTTATTGCTTCGTCGCATGCTTAATCTAGTCTCGAAAAAAATTGTTATTTTTACAAAAGTCCGGTGGCATCCCTGTTTTTAGGATGATTGCTCTGAAAAACAATACAATCATGATAAACAATCATGATAATGTATGCATTAATGCTGCTTTAGTTTTCTACTGCCTCTCACCAGTGAATCTCCCTTCGTGATATTTCCCTGTGTGACACGATTTTGAGATTCCTTCTTTCGCTGAACCCCATATCTCCGTATCTTTGGATTTACAAAAGCTATTACTATTATTATTACTCTTGTTTTCAATAGGCCAGACTGTGATTTGAACCACTGTTTTTGTTGGTTTTCAGATGTTAAAGAATTGAAGAAAAAAATCAGCGGTTTGAAAAGCAAGTACAAAACGGAGCTCAGAACTGTTACAAAACATCCTGGTGGATACGAGTCGACATGGCCACACTACAACAGTTTTGAGTTTTTAAAAGAGATAACGCTCAAATTGATTGTAAGTGCTTCTTTGTTGTGTCATTGTAAATTTCCTCTGAGTCTATTTGATATTGTTGTCTTTCAGGTCTTGAGGGAAAAATCAACAGCGTGGGATCTTTTTTAAAGCCATTTCGTTTTATTTGAATTTTCCCAGGCTTTTCAGTTGTTTTCATGGTTTTGATGGTCCAGGGAGAATCTTCTTGAAGAGTGCAGAGATGTCCACATCCCTTTTTCATCATCTGATTTAATTTTAGCCACAACTTTGTACAATAGAACACGGTCATAATTTAGTCACCCCAACTTTTATAGTAATACAGTTGAATCCTGTTATAATGAGAGGGAGAGGGACTGGTGCGAAATATCCGTTATAGCAGGATTCTGTTTTAAGGGATCAAGTAATAAATTCACGGGAAATAATAATGTAGGCCTAATCTTTGAGTTTGATGTTCTGTTCATTTCTTTTTTTGTTATCTCCCCTGATGATGATTTTGTTCAACATGACCCCTTGGTCTTTCGTGATCAAAAATCAAATCAACTTTCTTTCTCTAGCGTTAACGATGTTGACAGTTCGGCGTTGGTGATAACCCCACCACACCACGCCATTTACTGATTTAGTACGTTCCGTCTGCTTGCGCACATTGGGTACACACCCTGCCCACGACACACAATCGCTCCATCCATCACAGCTCTGTGACCTCTCCATCTCTCCATCGGAGAAATGAGAGGCATGGTAGGCTTAGATAATCTAGATTATGCTGGCCTATCACTCGATGCGTTCAGCTTGTCTGCGCATGCCGCACCCTTGCCACTCATGTGCTCCGGCCTTCATTGTTGACCCTCTCCCATTCTTTGTTTCGCTAGATCACCAACAAGTTTTTCAGCTGGCGAGGTTTTACATGTATAATTGGCCTATGCACTGTGCACAGCAGCAGCAATATTCCGCTATAACCGACTCTCATGTTTGTCTGATAGCGCTATAGCAGTATTTTATTTACAAAGGTAAAGAGGAGAAAAAAACGGGGTTTTAGAATAATGTCTTTATAACAGACTTCTCGTTTTTTCCGGACTCGTTATAAGTGGACTCCACTGTATATAAATATATATATTTAAATGTGCTATGTTAGAGCGTTCCATCAAAACCGATTACATGTACTGACACTGGCAGGACCCCTGTGGTATGGTTAACGCCCCTATCAACACTATTAGGTTATTTAAGAGGCGGGACCTCCTAATTTAACGTCCGTCTCCGATAGGACCGAGCCAATTGGGAAGTTCGTGTAAAGTGCCTTTCCCAAGGACACAACGTCGGACCGAGCTGAGGCTCGAGCCCCCGAACCCGCAATCTCACGATTACTAGTCCGGTAGCCTAACCACTAGGCTACCGGCGCCACTAGGCCCCTTGTGTGTGATTCCATAATTTAAATGTAATATTCAGTACTTTTTTAAAACTACGCACATTTAGGGTTAAAAGAGCCAATCTCCTTGTTTCTTCGGACAGGTGGACACACGCCCTTATTTGTTAATTTTTGTGGTTGTTTATGGGCTGTTCTAATTTTGATTTCATTCTATTGTGAAACCTTTCTTTTTCACGTTTTTACACTCATCTAAAAATCTCTAGACTAGCTCTTGAAAATTGAAGTAGATCTAGACCCTAAAATTTGCTGCTTCCCGAACCTCGCAGAATGGCAGAATGAAAGTTGGCGCCGAACTCTCGCAAATTGGCAAAAAATCACAAGACCGGAAACCGGGAACCGTTCGGAGAAATACAGATCGGCACTCCCCTGATGATAATTGTTCAACGTGACCTCTAGATCTTACTCGATCAAAAATCGAATCGGGTTTCTTTCTCAAACGCTAGCGATATTGACAGCACGGCGTTGGCGATCAGAAAGAATGCGCTCTAGGCTAACTCGCCCTCTGTGTTGTCCCCCACCCACAGAATTCTACACTTATAGAACGGGAACTGTACCACGTGACATGTGAGGAATTGAAGACCGAAAACAATGGCGTCGGGAGGGCACTATTTATCGTTTTCGGAAGTAACCCTATAGCTTTTAAAGCAAGAGCGGCTTTTACAAACGAGTGAAAAGTGGAACATTTACTGTCCAGATTGTAATTTTGAGTTACAGAATTCACTGTGTAACTAGAGATTGGAATTAAGGTTTTAAATTGTTGTGTTTTGGAGTGCAACAACAGAAAAAGCAGACATACAGAGTTTATATAGATATATATAAGATCTACAGAACTGAAAAAAATTCATAGCACTTCTAGCTTCCCACACACATTTTGCATACGCATATGGCCTACGTAGTTTTTTAGTAGTAAAACTTATTACAATAAATTTGTTTTACACTGAACATATTTTTTCACTAGATCTTATTAATGTTCTCAAAACATGCGTTCAATAATTAACTTTATGTCGCCAGCAGAAGTAGAAAAAAGGACGGACTTGCTTTTAAAAGAGATTTAGCTCCAGCTATAAACTTTTTAAAAATCTGTAGAAACCATTGACTGGGATTTTTTTTTTATATATTGGGCTAGTATTTATTAAAGAATTTTCTTTAAAGAAATTTCTAGAATAATATAGAACCTATAGATGTGTACAAATGTTTGAAAAAAATACTCATCGGTTAAGACGAATTGATATAGATCTAAGTCATTGTGTAAAAGTAGGAGAATCTAGATCTAGGTGTTTGATAGTTCAGTAGCCTAGATATTTGATAATAAGTTGCGCATCAAATTTTTGACCGCATGCTACAGTAGTGAAGATAGCGTATTATTTTTATCCGAAACATTAATTTCTGCATCCATACACCTTTTTGAGCCTTTATAAGCACATGTAGTCCTACTTTAATTATGTTTTTGTTTTTGAAAGCATTTTCAATTCCTTTCACTTTCAATTCCCACGCGCGGCACATATAATTATGATTATAATTTAAGATTCCAAATCTGACGAATGTATTATTAAATAGCGTATAATACTGAGTTAGCCAATGCATTGCAATGCGCACTATTATCAATTGATCGAATTGTAACAAGACTTCAATTTGATCCGTAACAAGAGACCACTTATTTTTTTATACGTGTTCATGAATGTGTGTTTGTTTACTGTGTGCGGGGATTAAAAATTAAAGATTAAAGATTCCAGATCTGACGAATGTATTTATAAAATAGCGTAATAGTGCTGGGTTAGCCGATGCCTTGCGATACTTGCTTTTATCAATTAATTGATTTGTAACAGGACTTCGATTTGATCCGTAACAAGACAACACTTATTTTTTCTTATACGTGTTTAAAAATGTGTGTTTGTTTACTGTGTGCGGGTATTAAAGATTCCAGGTCTGACGAATGTATTTATTAAATAGCATATAGGCCTATAGGGCAGGGGTGGCCAACGCATTGCGATACGCACTTTTATCAATTGATCGAATTGTAACAGGACTTCAATTTGATCCGTAACAACAGACCACTTATTTTTTCTTGTTCGTGTTCCAAAATATGTGTTTGTTTACTGTGTGCGGGGATTACAGGGGGACAAGCCCATCCCCTCGACATGTGATCCAGAGTATGGGGATACATTTTTCTCAAAATGCACACAGCTCTGAAATCCTTGACCAGTGATCACTCGCCATGGAACTCTTTCTGTTGTGACTGTAGACACAAGTTTCTTCATTATCACATCTGAATGAGCCTCTCATTCATGCATTAGAAATCACACTCCCAACACACAGAAAATGACTTTGAACATATATTCAGGAAACATATGCCAGTTCCACTCTTGTTTACTTTGTTTTGCATTATTGGCTTTTATGTGTAAAACAATATTTAGAGGCCTTTTCTGCATTTTTGTGTTTTTGGCAGCATGTACAATAGGCCTAGATCTATGTATTTTATGTGCAACCGACACATTCTCCAATCGTAGATCTAGTACTAATCAAGACTATATCTAGATACTTTTCCAACAGAGTTAATGTTCATAATTAGTGTTATTATCAAGTGTATTGTGATTGTGAAGATCTTTAGTAGATCTAGATCTAGTAGTAGAACTAGAGATCTAGATCTATCTTTATCTAGATCTAGATCCCATCCCATCCCATCATTAAAAAAACAACAACAAACCAACAATACAGATACAAAAACATTGTAACATTGCCAATTATGACATATTGTTGGCAGTAAAAATGTACTAGACTATTTCACTATATTTCCTCTTCGAAGAAAGTTTTAAAATACTGATGTAACTTAATGTAAGGTGTCTTCCAAGCCCTACCACTAGCATCAGCGTGCATAGCAACGCGAAGCCTCGCTGTGCGGCGCAGCCAAAGGTGCCCTCAACTGGCCGCCATGTTTTAGTTTCAATTCCTCACAGCGAATCGGCGATCGCGAAGAGGGAGTTCCGCTTCTATAAGTGTAGAATTCTGTGCCCCCACCCCACCACACCCCGTGGTGTGTTTCGTCTGCTTGCGCACGTTACTACACATTCACTCCATCCATCACAGTATTGTGACCTCTCCATCCCCGCATCGGAGAAGTGAGGGCATGGGTAGTGGTAGGCCAGGATAATCTAGACTAGGCTGGCCTATCACATGATGCGTTCTGCTTGTCTGCGCTTACCACACCCTCCCCGCTCATTCGCTCCGGCCTTCATCATTGGCAAACATGGGCTCTCCTATTCTTTGCTTCGCTCAAGAAGTTGATGTAAGGTCCTAGGTTTCATTAGATCACCAACAGGTTTCTCAACTGGCGAGGTTTATATGTATAACTGGCCTGTGCGCTGTGCACAGCAGCAGCAATATTCCGCTATAACAGACTCCTGTGTTTGTCCGATTGCGCAATAGCAGTATTTTATTTCTTACAAAGACAAAGGAAGAAAAAAAACGGGGTTTTAGAATAGTGTCTTTATTACAGACTTCTCGTTGTTTCAGGACTCGTTAAAAGTGGACTCCACTGTATTTGTTTACATAAAAAAATACTGGATAAGATGAACCGGTTTCACTGGGGAAATCGGATAAAGTAAATGCCTAAAGTGAGTAAAACCGAAGAACAGACCGACCGTGTCACTGTCGCCATGCTGTGAAAATTAAATTCTTTGCCTCTGGCATCGGCAGACGATCCCAGCTCGGCGTTGGCAACGGCAATCAGAAAGAACGGGCTCTAGTCTTGGCTCGACCGCTGTGTTGCCCCCCCCCCCCCATCCCACCTCCACCCTAGACCCACCACTGAGCGTAGCTACTGTTTCTAGGCCTCCTCCCTACCAAAATGGTTAAACTGAACCTCGGATAAAGTGAACACTTTCTGCTGGTCCCACAGAGTTCACTTAAAGTGGACTTCTCTGTAGTGTCTTTATAACAGACTTCTTGTTATTTGACGACTTTTTATAAGTGGACTCCTCTGTAGTTCTTTTCTCAGGAAGGAAGAAACATAACGCTTTGAACTTACAGTATAGAGAGTGTAGTGTACTACATTGGTGTCTGCCCAACAGTAGAAGCAACTCCCATGCATTTCAGGCCTTGGTTGCTGATGGACAGACGTTGCTGCTAACTGAATTTTCAAAGGGGGAACGGGGAAGTGGGTGGGGGCTCTACATGATATCCCCCCCCCCCAACCACACACTTACTCCCACTGATAGGATGTGGTAATGTTGTCAAAAGTGAGAACATAGCGCTCAAGCTTCGCTTTTAGGCAACGTGGTGAATCGGGCGCTCGTCAAAATAGTGAAAATGAAGAAACTGACATTTTTCTGCCAGTTTGGCAATTTTTATCAAATTTTCGCTCATTGGCTTAAAACACTATTGTTGTCCAGTTAAGAACACATTTCAGGGTGGATTTTACTGAAAAATGTTCATTCTAGGCATGAAAAAAAAGTAAGTTTTCAGTTTCAACGGACTATCAAGCTATGGAAAATAGCAAACTTTGGTGGCCATTTTCTCGCCGATTCTACCTTTGAGACCAGGCGACCCCACCTTTTTCAGTCTCAAATATCTTGACTTCGATTGAAGATAGATGGGCATTGTTTTCATGAAAAGCAAGACAAATGAGAAAACTTTAAGATGATACCAACAACTCCATATGCTAAAAAATTTACGAGCGCCTGATTCCACCGTGTCGAGACACATATAATATATGTGTAAAATAAAATGGAAAATTCTGTTACATAAGTTTAGGTCGCTGTTAGGCGTAGGTTGCTCCTATCTGGGGTTGCTGTTTGTAGTGTTAGATATGTTGCGCCGTGGTAAAATCAGGCGTTCATCAAAATGATGAATTCAAAGAAATTGGCATTTTCCCGCTCGTTGGTCAGTTTTTATCCATTTTTTTCTTGGGGGCTCAAAACCTTTCATGTCCATTTAAAAACACATTTCTATGTGGATTTTACTGACAAAGGTTGATCAAAGGCACAAAACGGGTAAATTTGCAGTCTCCGAGGACACCCAAGCTTTGGAACACACCAAACCTTGGCCTTTATTTTCTTGCTAATTTTACTTCTGATACAAGGCGACCCCCACTTCCTTAAATTGCAAATAGCTCGACTTCTATTCAAGATAGATGATTATTTTTTTCATCAAAAGCAAGGCAAATAAAAATGCGTTCAGATTATATAAGAAATGCCCTATGCTAAAAAATAATATTGATGAGCGCCTGATTCCATCGTGACGCAAATGGACACCACTGTACAATGTACAGCGACTAGGTCAATAGTACAGACAACCATGTTCTTTCAGTTCACCGGCGGACACACAGGGTCGCTATCTGTTTGGAACATGAGGCTTTTGTTTGTCATTTGTAGAAAACGTCTATGTACTATCCTGATATTTTAATATTACGATCTAGCTACTGAGATAGATAGATGGATAGATAGATAGATACATATAGAGATGGAGGCGGAGAGAGAGAGAGGGAGAGAGAGAGAGAGAGAGAGAGAGAGAGAGAGAGAGAGAGAGAGAGAGAGAGAGAGAGAGTGTGTGTGTGTTTTACAGAGCAGGGGTGATTTACCATGTAAAACATGTATTTAGTAATAATGTCCTGTCTTGTTGTGTGTATGCATAAGTGCGCCTATCCTTTGTAACACCCTCTGCCTTTATAAACGACCAAGACAATTTTCTCCCTGTGAGATTACACGGATTGTCATTGTCATTGTCAAATTACAAAATACTTTTTTGAATAATGATGCACAAATCTCATCTTTTTTTAAAACCTCTGAATCCTGTCATCTCAGCAGGAACACCCTGACCCTGATATCAACACGGGTGAGGATGAATGTCCCTCACCAGGCCCATATTTGGATGAAACGCCAAAAAAGAAGATGCCATTGGATGGCAGTCTGAGCACATCACCGTCTCCATCGTCTCGTTGGATGAGGTTGGGGAACTTTGTTGTCGAGACTCTAGACAGCCTTGAGCCTGATGCTGCTGCTGAGGCAGCAAGTAAGATCTCGGAGATCGCTACCAAATACACAGCAAAAGCCAAAAAAGTTTAGTTTTGATATACATGTACTGTCAACTCTCGGTACAGTAGTACAGTAGTACATACTCCAGATTTGTCTGTTCCCATAGTTTTATGCAAGAACAATTCTGAAATTATGCAAACTGAGGCAAAAAATGTGAAATTATGCGATTCTGTTAATTTCAACAAAGAATGATAAAGGGAAATAATCAGAAATTATGCAAAAAATGATCAAATTTTACTAAATTATGCGGGATGCATAAAGCCAAGGGGATAGATGTATGGTACGTGTACAAATGTACATTCATCTTTGGAATTAGTTTACTGAAAACTTGTGAATTTACATGTGTAGGTCAATATGAGTGCGATTATTTTAGCTTGCAAGGTATTCACTTTTTGGGAAATAAACTCAAAATAACTACAGTCGAATACCTTTGAAGGATCTGTTGATGTCATTGGGGAGAGAAAAAGAAATCTCATCTGTTTCAAAATGAAGTTGGGCATAGTTTTCCATCAGAGTTGTACATCCGCGTATTTGTATTTTCCTTGAATGTTCACCTTGTACATACGCTTATAATTGTAATGTCTTCACAGATTTCTTTTACACGAAGTATAATCTAGTATCTGGAGAGGTGTAAAGTTTTTCCCAGTAATCTCTATCTGAAAAAGTTCCAATGTTTCAGACGCAAGCTTTTTAATTACCGGTAAGCATTCTTTCATAGACAAATAAGTAAATATATTATATATTATATTACATATGATATTACATATTATATTACTTTACATTATGTTATACATTATCTGTCCTCAGAGAAATTCGCGCGCGCAACCAGCAACTTGCGCACGCAACTTTTGCCTTTGCGCAGCTTTTGACATTTTCGTGAATTCGCGAATTTTAGCCAATTTTCCGCAAAAGTTGGAAAAATAATACTACGATTTCGTTTAAAATTACGAAACTTTCTTCCACGACTAAAAAAACTATCTAGATCTAGACATGGATCGATTCATCCAGAAAACCCCTAAAGGGGACATTCAAATAATCTTGCATTTGGAAAAAAAAAGGGG